CCACTGGTGAGGGAAGGGGCTGACAGACCCCGACCGACCTCCCTGGCCATGGCCTCGGGCACCGGAGACAGAGACCCAACGCTGAAGAGGTGCCTCGGTGTGCTCAGAGACGCGAGAAACGACAGCGAGCAGTTCGCAGCCCTGCTGCTGGTAAGGAACAGCTGCAGGGAGGCGCCGGGGACGCGATCGCCTCGGGAAGGGGCAGGGGGAAGGCGAAACCCGCCGCTGGAATGGCGAGCGCCAGAGCGGCGTTTGCAGCTGTGCCTGCTGGCATGGGTAGCCTCGGGGCATGGGGGTTCAGTGCCTCAGTGCTCCCATCAGCAAGGTGGGGGGAGCCCGGCCTTGGCCGGCGTGTGCTGGGGGTTACTCAGCGCTGCCACAGCTCTGGAAGCACTCCGGTAAAGCTCTGGGTTAGCACTTAGACCAGGGGCCCAGCTCAGCGGTTAAGGGTTCACTTTTCCATACTAATGAAAGTTGTTTAGGCTTCTGATTTTCCTCTTCAATCCTGTAAATTTAGCAAAGCCTCATGCTGTGCTGCGCACTCACCCCTGGTTTGCCTCACAGGTGACCAAAGCGGTCAGAGCCGGAGAAGTAGATGCTAAGACCCGTCGCCAGATCTTTGACGCAATTGGATTCACGTTTCCAAATCGCCTGCTTGCCTCCAGGCAGCCCCCGGCGGGCTGCCCCGAGCACACCTTCCAGGCACTGGGCCTTACTCTGTTGGCATGTTTCTGCACCGATCCAGAGTTAGCTGGTCACTCCCAGATCCTGAACAAAATCCCAACCTTCAATGACATCCTGGTTTCCCCCAGCAATCCAGACAGCAGGTCCATGATCGATGACGTGTACCAGTGCCTGAGTGCTGTCATGGCCACTACCAGGGGGCCCAGAGAGTTGGTGACCAAAGGGACAGTGTCTGCTCTGTGCCAAGCCTATGTGAACTGCAGTTATGGCTCTGACCGTGCCTTGGCGCTGCTCTTGGGACTACTGGCCGTGGCAGAGGCGAAGTGCTGGCAGAGAGATGCTCCGCACCTCCTGGCTGTGCTGAACAAGCTCTCCAATGATTTTCTCAAGACTGAAGACATGACCAAATTTGAGCTGTGTGAGGTTGTGCCTCACTTCATCCCCCTGTCTCGACCGCTCACGCAGGACTCACAGGGCGCTGAGTGCCTCCATAGACTTTACAAAGGGCTGGCTAACATCTTGGGCAGTAAACTCAGCCAGTCACAGCGGGATCCTGCTCTGAAGCTTGCTGCCTGCCTCGTGCAGGCCTGTGGGTCAGAGTGGATCCCAGCAGGGAGTGCTGGAAGCAAGTTCCTGGCCTTGCTGGTGAACTTGGCTTGTGTGGAGGTCCGCCTGACCCTGGAGGAGCCAGATCCCTTGGAGGTGGAGGGGAAAAAAGAGGTGATAATAGCCTGCTATGTCCTTATTGAGATGGGGATCCAGGAGTGCCTGAGAGAAGAGAAACCACTGCTAGAAGAGGTGCAGAAAATGCAGCTCATGAGGATCATGGAGGAGGCATTTGGAGCTGTAATATTCTATTTGAGACAGGTAATGCAGGATTTTCAAGCAAAGAGCGTATTTTTGTGGGTTACTCTGGGAGGCTTTGATAGCTGTTCACTGGGACACTTAATGGGTGCTCAGCAGCTCATGGCCATGCTGTGTAGAGCAAAATGTGCATCTTGGCCCACTGTGGTTTTCATACCTGTGGTAGCTCGATACAACAATGGCTCTAACGTCATTTTCTGTCTGCTTTCTTCTTCATGCAGGTTAAACAGGAGGAGCTACAAGATCCTTTCGTATTTGCTTCTGTTCGAATCCTTGGAGCCTGGATGGCAGAAGAGACATCCTCCCTCAAGCAGGAAATCTGTGAGCTATTGCCTTTCCTTGTTCATTATGCCAAGAAGCTTTTCAAAGAGGGCAGCACAGCTGCGAGTCTTCCCCAGCCAGAGCTGATCAGCAGCAAGGGCTCTGGCTTACCCCAGGATGCTCTGAGGTGCGTATTTTAAGTGTAGAGTTGATCCATTTTAGCACAAACCTGCTCAAATCTTTTCCTATTTTCCATTCTCCCTGCAGTGCCAATTCTGTGGCTCTTTTTTCCCCCTGTTTAGATGTAAATGCAGGGCTTAGACTGAGTTCCCAATTTCTTTCCCCTTCCAGATTTCTGCTACCTGGCTTTTGCCATTTAACAGCAGAAGACAGGCCCCGGGACATCCTCATCTCAGAAGGGGCACCAGCACTGCTGTGCGAGTACTTCCTGCATCAGTGGGAGGTGCTGACCTCTGAGCCCGAGTCCCTGACTCCACTAACAAACACTGAAATGAGTCTACAGACTGCGTGTGGGATTTTCCTTAACCTGGTTGTGACTGCACCGGGTCTCATCAGGTAACAGAGCTAACAGGTAACATTCTTAAACAATTAAGATTGTCAGTGGGAAGAAAGAAGGTGCATTGTGAAATGAGATTGCAGGATCTTCTAAGGCACTATGCTGAAAAAGGGAGGTCCCTTTTTCAACACTAATTACATTGTTTTTTTGGTGCTGCATTTAACCTTGATATTTTCAGGTGCTTCTGGCTCTGAATGTGACAGGAAATGTGTCTCAGGGTTTGCTTTCTCTCTAGGCGAGACAAAACCTTTTCCTCCTTGCTGGACATGTTGCTGAAGTCTCTTCCACTTCTGCTGCCCCAGAAAGATCACCTGGTGCTAGCAGCGAACATTGCCACTCTGGGCCTGATGATGGAAAAACAGCAGGTAAGAAGAGTTCCCATTGGCAAAGCTGCATGATGCTCTGCACTGACAGAGACCAGGGTCTGGGTGGGTGGGCTGGAGAAAGCAAATAGAAGGGGAACAGGTCTGATTTCTGTCATCAGAAAAGTGGCAGAACGAAAAACCTGGAGGAGCAAGGAATATGCAGAAAATTCAGCAGGCTGATGCGCTGGGGTGAAGAGATTTCTAGGGCACGAGGGTGGTATTCTGCTGCCCCTGAAAGCGCTGCTGCAGACCCACCGAAGGGTCCCTCCTTTGGCCGAGCAAGCTCTTTATCAAGTCATTCGTTTCCTTTTTCTTCCAGTTCTTCAGGGGACCCAGTCTGCCAAGGAATTTTTTGAAGCCGCCATCCGCTTCCTGTCACAGGCCCACAGCGCCCAAGCAGACCCCGGCAGTGACTGCTTGGCCGTGGCCGTGTCGCCTGCCTACGCAAGTGCCTGGGCTGATGTCTGTGAGCTCTGGTTCCTGGGGATGCAGGCCTTGGCTGGCTGCGTGCCACTTTTTCCCTGGCTGCCGCAAGCCGTCCTCCAAACGCAGTGGCTGGAAGGCCTCTCGGAGTTGCTGACCCGCGTCGCTCCAGCCTCGGTGGACTTTGAACTCATTGCTGCTTTCCAGGGTGTGTTGGTAGAGCTGGCCAGAGCCAGCAAGCCGTGCAGGGATGTGATCCTGTCGCACCACGGCGGGGAGTGGGCCAACCTTTATGGTATGGCAGCTTTGGAACAGTGTCTGTCTGAGCAATGAAGAGCCAGCAGCACCCGGGAAATGAAGCCAGGCACCTGCACAAAATCTGTTGAGAGTTTCTCATGCACCCTTTGGTGCCAAGTGGGGACAAAAAAACATTTAAATGACCAAACTTCATAAAACTGGAGTGATGCAGCAGAGCTGAGCAGGATTTGCACTGTCCACAACCTGATGGGCAAAACTGCTGCTGCCTCAGAACATTCTGATATGCACCTACTTGACCTTCAGTCAGTATTTCTTTTTAAAAACAGCCTGTTTTATTATTAAAGAAGTTTTCTGTTGCTTTGTTTTTCAAACTTCTACAGTGTTGGGATTTATTTCTGCCCAGGGCCCTGAGAGGTTGCCTGCTTCTCCCTTTAACTTGCTCTCCCCGTTTTGTCACAGTAAGCCCTGCAGGATGTCACTTTATTTTATGTCAGAGGCCTGCACATGTTAGTAAAGTAACTTGGCGCTACACATAGAAGCCTGCAAAAGGCAGGAACAGGAAAAGCTTTAACCAATGGCTCACCAATAGCGGTGAGAATAACTTTAACTTGACACAGTCCTGTCACCTTCTGATGTGAGGATGCACAAAGGCCCTTTTGCCGTGCTCTGGGACAACCCCCCTGCTCATATCCACGGCTGGTACCATCATCCCAAATTCACACCTAGAAAACCTAGAAAACCTTCACAGCACCAGGCAGGCTTGAGTGTTTTTCCCTGCAAAACACCTGCACAAGGCACGGCCATGGGGATTTGTATTTACTCAGGCTCCCTCTTGCTGCAGGGGTGGGATATACGGGGGGAGTTTTCCACGCTTGTGAGGCGAGGGCTTCAACCTGCAAAGACCTGGGTGCTCCTTAGAGCCTTCGGGTGCGGATTGTGAAGGCAAAAACGAGTGAATTACACCTCGCTGACTGCCCACAGACCGAGGAGTAGTTTGCTTTACAGAAGAGAAAGGCCACACGTATGATGGGAGTAAATCACTTGTAGCGCTGGCTTGGCAGCCTGGGCTGCCAGCTCTCGGGTACCCTGTGAGCCTGGGCAGAAAAACTCCCAGAAAGAGAAGCCGGGACAGGGTGGTATTTGGGAGCCTGGGGTTCGGAGGACGGCTCCGGCCGGAGCAGAGCTCCCTGCTCGGGCTGCAGCGGGTCCGGGGAGGGTTTTCCACCAGGTGTCAGCCGAGGAGCTCTTTGGGAGCAGCAGCCTCGCCGGGGACCGGCTCTCCTGCCAGACCAAGGCACTGGTCCTGGCTGCCCTCAAAACGCGTGCTGAGGGGGCTGTGGCATCGTCTGATTGAGAGAAAAATCAAGCGAGCAGCCATCTCAAAAGGAGGGCCGAGGCTGGGTGCATTCTTGCTTCGTACCGTGTTGTTAGCGAGTCTGCTTTATGAAAGCAAACTCCTTACACAACTGGAGAGGAGGCGTCTGCTGTTGCTCAGGAAAAGTATCTTTCTGATCTTTCCAGCTCAGCCCTGGAAAGTTAATGCAAGTTGGAACAACGATAGGTGCTACCAGAAGAAAGTAATGCAAGCCAAACAAGCAAATGAGCCTCCTGGCCTTGGAAAAGAGCATAACTCTGCTCGAGCGTGGGCTGGGAGAGTCTCCCCATCCTGCCAAGAACACCTCATCCCTGCACTGCGGGGAAACATCAGTGCGTTGGAGGAGTCAGAGACACATTTCAGATTGTCAGAAAAAAACATCCAAACCCTCAAATGCTTCACCTTCGACTATTCCCAGTCCCGTATGCTGTTCTGCCTCTGGTCAAAGGGTGTGGGCTTCCCATTAATGAAAGGCTATCATTAGTGCTAATGAGAGATACGCGCCTGTATCAGCA